ACTGAAATGACATGGTAAGTGACTCCAAGTCACTGAAATAATGCAAGTAAAGCATGCTAGAGGATCCAATACTCAAAGCCTACAAGCTAGGTTGCATGGCAGCTATACAAAGCAAGTCATGGATGATCCAAACAACCAAAATCAGACCTTAAGCATACCAAAACATGCATAAAAGCTTCACAAAGCTAAGCCAAAATCATGCTAGAAAGTCATGGTACATCATGATGCATGTTAAGGTAATTTCATGACATTACATGACAAGTATGCAAAGCATGCATGGTATGTCTAAACCAACTTAAAACAGTGCTATATAATGACAAAATAAGCACAAATACCGGCTGAAATGAAGCTAAAGCAAGCTAGGCATACAAGCTACAATACAAGCCATTTGTGCAAGCATCAAAGGCAACATGGAGAGGGGATGACCCTCTCCTACTTAGGACCTCAAAATCACCTCTTCACCACTGAAAATCCTCTAGATTTCAGTGGTAGAGAGGTCATGCAACGCTCAAAGTGAGGGCCAAAAGGTATGGCCTTAAACAAGGCCTAACAAGGCCTTGAAGGGGGGAAACAATCCCAAACCTCAAAGCAACCTTAAACAAAGTTCTAAAACACACAAAATCAGAAATTTTATTAGTTATGCACTAAGCTCAAAAATAGATGCAAGATAAGTCAAAAGCTTGTGCAAAAATGGGGAATAAAGGGGTAAGGTTCTTACCCTTGAAGACCTTCTTCAAGAAGACCACTCCAGCAGCCTCCTTAAGTCAAAACCAGCTCCAAAACTTCAAGAACAACCCTTTGGCACCTCAGCAACCAAGGTATGGTGTAATACTAGGTGTCTTAGTGCAAAACTAAGAACAAAACAACCTTTAACACACACAAATATGCAAGGAGAGGGAGATATAGAGATAGATAGATACAAATATCCTAACCCTAATTTTCAGACCTTTGGAACTTTTTGGAACCCTTGAGGAGGGAGGAGAAGCCCTCCATTTATAGGAATTCCAATCTTGCAAAGCTTACAAAACAAGCTAAGTAAGAGGGAAATCCCTCCATACACGTGTATAGAGGGGGAGCATTGTGGATGCCAGCTATCACAGCTGGCATAAAATATCTGCCAAAAGCAGATGAACAGTGGTCGACCAGCCAAAAATGACAAATTGACCAAAACAATGGTTGGCCGACCATAAAGAGTGCCGACTGGCCATCACCAATGGCCGGTAGCAACAAAACAGGGCCGGTGGCCTCAAGCCATGGCCGGTGAGGTGTGGGGATGACTAACAAGCCATTCCCTGCCCTCAGAAGCAAAACAACAAGTGTTTGGTGCAAAACCAAACACAAAACAAGCAAGTCGAGAGATCATAAGGCAAGACACGTAGCCGAGACCTCCGAGAACTCAAAACGAACACGAACATGGATGATCACTGATTGTTCAAAAGGTGACGTCCAAGTCTTGAGGACGGTCAAAAATGGGGTGTCTACAGTTGCCCCTCTTTGACAGAACTTGAAAGTCATAACAATGACGGGAGTGAGTGTCAAAGCCTAAAGACGACCCATTTTTGACGAGGCCGAAGACTTAGACAAAGCATACAAGCTACAGACAAAGGTATGCGCCCGAAGGCAGGAGCAAAATGCAAAAACAATGCACAAAGCCGAGCATAACTTATGATCATGCAAAGAGAGCTGTAACGAAGCAAATACATACAATAAATACAACAGTTTTAAGCAAGCCGAAAACCAAACTACATTACAATGTAGAAAGGATGTAAGAGAATTATGTAATTCTCGCTACGTTTCACGTGGAGAATATAATACCTGTGCGGTTCGTCTGGTCGTGCCAGCTTCAAATGAACTGTACATACAATATCGTTCCTGTCCGGTTCATCTGGTTGTGCCAGCCTCAAATGAACCGTACATACAATATCGTGCCTATCCAGTTTGTCTGGTTGTGCCAGCCTCAAATGAACCGTACATACAATATCGTTCTTGAAAAAGAAAAAGAACTTAACAGGTACAATATCGTTAGAAACATGCATAGCAATGCAAGTGAAAAGTGCGTGACAACGCAAGTGAGAGGGTGCATGACAATGCAGGTGGAAGGGGTGTATAACAACGCGACCCGGGTGTGTGCATAACAATGCGATTTGAAACAAGCATAACAATGCTACGAAGGCACAAACACATATAAGTAAAGTACATGTGACAACGTGTAGAATGTGTGGGGGTGAGAAAAAGCATATACATGTAAGTAAAGTATGCGCGACAACGCATGCAATGTGTAAAGTAAGGAATAAAATGTACACATGTAAGTAAAGCACATGTGACAACATGTACAATGTGTGAAAATAAAGGAACTTGAACACATATAAGTAAAGCATAACGCGACAACGCATGCAATGTGTATAGGAACTTGAACACATATAAGTAAAGCACGACGCGAAAATGCATGCAATGTGTATAGGAACTTGAACACATATAAGTAAAGCACGACGCGACAACGTATGCAATGTGTATACGGAAGGATGCAAGACAATGCAACCTAAGAATGCGAAACAACGCGGGTGGACGGGAGGATGCATAAACACATATAAGTAAAGCATATGCGGAAACGCATGCAATGTGTAAAGCAAGCAAGGTATGAACACATGTAAGTAAAGCACGCGCGACATGCAATGTGTATAGCGGGAACAATGCAAATGAAACGTGTATGACAATACGAGGTAGGAAAATGCATGACAATGCATGTAATTGAAATGCCTAACAATGCAAAGTAAGGAGATGCGTGACAATGCATGATAAGGAAATGCATGACAAGGCGTGATAAAGGAATGCATGACAATGCATGTACTGAAATGCATAACAATGCAAAGTAAGGAGATACATGACAATGCATGATAAGGAAATGCATGATAATACAAATGTGGTGTTCATAACAATGCACGATGAGATAAATGCATGACAATGCAAGGTAAAGAAATGCATGACAATGCAAAGTGAGACACGCATGACAATACATGAACTGAAATGCGCAACAATGCATGTAATTGAAATGCATGACAATGCGTGTAATTGAAATGCATGACAATGCATGACTTATTCAAATGCATGACAATGCGTGTAGTTGAAGTGTATGACAATGCATGTAATGCATAACAATGCGTGATAAGGGAATGAATGACAATGCGTGATATGGAGATGCATGACAATGCGAAATGAGACACGCATGACAATGCATGAATGAGAATGCATGACAATGCATGAACTGAAACGTAGATGAAAGATGCATGGCAATGCGTGTAATTGAAGTGTATGACAATGCATGACTTATTGAAATGCATGACGATGCATACTATTGGAATGCACGACAATGCAAATGAATTCAAAATGCGTGACAACGCACGTCTTTTGAGATGCATGACAATGCAAATGAACTTGAATGCGTGACAACGCACGTCTTTTGAAATGACAATGCAAATGAATTCAAAATGCGTGACAACGCACGTCTTTTGAGATACATGACAATGCAAATGAACTTGAATGTGTGACAACGCACGTCTTTTGAAATGCGTGACAATGCAAATGAACTTGGATGTGCGACAAAGCGCGTCTTTTGAAATGTATGACAATGCAAATGAGCAGTGCATATCAATGCAAGTTGTGCGCGTTACAACGCGTGTAGACATGCATAACAATGCAAGGGATGATGCGTGCTACAACGTATGCAAACATGCATAACAATGCAAGAGATGGTGTGCGCTACAACACATGCAGACATGCATAACAATGTAACGTATTTGAAGTAGTTTCCGAACCTTTGCAAGATACAAAAAGGATACGAAAAGGATACACCTTGCACGTATTCGAGTGCCACGCACAGAAGACACGGCACAGAGACTGGTTAAGCTTCAAAATGCAGTTCCTTGCATTGTCTTGAGCAAAGAAGGTCCCAAACCACATCAATGACCCAAACAAGGGTGTAGGAGATTCACCGGCCGCAAAACAAGGCCATTGGCCAAATATTTGGCCGACGGGCCAAAAATACCTGTATCGGGGCAGTTTTGTCAATTCGCTACGGGTCTTTAAATATAGGGCTTTAAGCCCTTATTTCTCACTTGCCACTTGGTCGAAAATCCCTTCCCTCCCTCTCTAGGTTATTTTCCAAGCTTCGATCCACCATTTTCCTCGATTTTTGAGCCCGTTTCGTCGTTCAATTCGTGAACACCTTCTCGTTTCGCACATTTTGAACCGAACAAAACTTATTTTCGGTGTCTCCTTCTTGATTTCCACCACTCGGGGTTTGTTTCCCTCGAGTTTACCTTGATTCTCGTGCCTTTTCCGCACTTCGAGCTTTCTGCCCATTTTTCACCCTCTCAGGGTTGACTTTTCAATTGACTTTTCACATTCTCGCCCGGTTTTCACACTTCCGGCCATTTTTGCACCCTTCTCGATATGGCAGACGACCTTCCAGTGGACGGGAGTCCTCCAGCGATAGACGTGGACCCCGAGGTCGAGCTCTTGCCTTTGAGCGTTCGACCGTTCGACCAAGATACAAAAGGATACGAAAAGGATACACCTTGCACGTATTCGAGTGCCACGCACAGAAGACACGGCACAGAGACTGGTTAAGCTTCAAAATGCAGTTCCTTGCATTGTCTTGAGCAAAGAAGGTCCCAAACCACATCAATGACCCAAACAAGGGTGTAGGAGATTCACCGGCCACCGAGGGAGGTGACCGGCCATTCACCGGCTGCAAAACAAGTCCATCGGCCAAAAATGCCTGTATCGGGGCAGTTTTGTCAATTCGCTACGGGTCTTTAAATATAGGGCTTCAAGCCCTTATTTCTCACTTGCCTCTTGGTCGAAAATCCCTCCCCTCCCTCTCTAGGTTATTTTCCAAGTTTCAATCTACCATTTTCCTCGGTTTTTGAGCCCGTTTCGTCGTTCAATTCGTGAACACCTTCTCGTTTCGCACATTTTGAACCAAACAAAACTTGTTTTCGGTGTCTCCTTCTTGATTTCCACCACTCGGGGTTTGTTTCCCTCGAGTTTACCTTGATTCTCGTTCCTTTTCCGCACTTCGAGCTTTCTGCCCATTTTTCACCCTCTCGGGGTTGATTTTTCAGTTGACTTTTCACATTCTTGCTCGGTTTTTGCACTTCCGGCCATTTTTGCACTCTCTTCGAGATAGCAGACGACATACCACAGGGTGGGGCTCCCCCAGAGATGGATGTTGACCCCGAGGTCGAGCGCCTACCTCTCCATATCCGTCCGTTCGACCCGGCGACTTACAGGCCGGCTATACACGTGTTGCCTCCCGACAGACTTCGCCAATTCAGGAGTTTTGCCAGGGGCGTGCCACCAGAGCTTCTACTGCGTGAGCCAGAGTCACATCTGTCTTACGGCGCTTCCGAGGTATACTCTTCCCCGTTTCATTTTCAATGTAGAACACAGCTGCAATAGTCGATCTTGTTCTTTAATTGCTTAGCCCGGATACACCGATATACCACATGTTGTAGTTTACTGCGAGCACACCTATACTCGGTATTTGTTTGAATCTGAATGCGTGCACACACACTGCACTGATACATCATATGCTGTAGTTTACTGTGAGCACACCGGCACCCGACATCTGTTTAACTGGAAACGTGCACACACGCACTGCATTTTCGCTGGTACTGAGTGCATTCAACACTGTATTTGTAACACTGCTTCGCAACTGTCTGTTTTGACCATAGGGGGATTCCCATGCCTTCCGGGGGTATGGGAACGTCATGGCCCAGGGGTGGTACATGGAGCTTCCTGAGGCGGTGCGCTGTATCGTTGACCAGGCCAGCTTCGGCACTTTCTGCATGGGGCTCTCACGCCTTACTGCGAGTAGGCCTCTCCTTGCTGCTCTGGTGGAGAGGTGGTGGGACACAATCGACTCTTTCCATCTTTCCGCCACCGGGGAGATGACGATGACTCCCTTTGACTTCTCCATGCTCACAGGCATCGGAGTGGGGGGTGATCCGATCCCCTTCGATACTGACATAGACGAGTGGGACGTTGCTCAAATGTACATGCTCGGCGCTCAGCCACCTCTCGCTCGGGCAGGGTTCGTGCGATACTCATGGTTCGAGGACCATTTTCGGATCCAAGCGCCCACTACCCAGGAGGAGGAGGAGCAGTACGCTCGTGGCTTTATCATGTTTTTGCTAAGGACGACACTTTCCGCCGACCGGGCGAACACCGTGCCCCTTTGCCTGCTGAGTGCACTAGTTGACGTGACCAGGATTCCCGGCTACAACTAGGGTGGCGCAGGCTTGGCCACACTCTACGACTATATGAGTTCATCCTCCCGCCTCAGCGGACAGCTGCTCGGAGGCTACTGGCGGGCTTGGGAGGTACGTCTTCTTCCTCTGTTTTACATTTCTGCTTTATATTCTCTGTACTCTGTATACTGTACACACTGCGGTCTTCTTCACACTGGTCATATACTGCACCCACGGCATACATATAATCTGCTTTACACACTGCACACATTGCACAACACACTTCATATACTGTACAATCTGCTGCTAACTGACTGTACACTGCACATACTGCGAACACGCAATCTGCTTTACACTGACTGTATACTGCATGGTCTGTACACTCTGCACAATGCACTGCTCGATGCATGGTTCTGCGCCTTCAGCTTTATTCTGCATTCCGCTTTATCTGATAAGCATATTGATATCTGTTCTGTCACATTGTAGTTGTGGGTATACGCCTACTTCCCGAGGCTTGCCCCAGTACCAGAGGAGGAGATGCCTCCCATGATCCCATTCTCCCACTGCTTTGACGTGAGGTGCGAGCGGAGGCCTCGGGAGTCTTTCATATTCTTCCGCCGCTATTTTGATACCATCACCGCGGTAGAGGTATGTCAAACATTACAATTCATTTAAGCTTCGCTTTGCATTGCATTTTCAATTGCAGTAGATACCTGGCAGCCATGGGCCTCATTGTCCATCGCAGTACGGGAGCAGTATGAGACCTCCCGGTTTAGGATTTTACTAGAGGGCCCGGTCTGTCGGGCATGGTACCTGGGCGAGCGCTTCTTGCGGCAGACCTTAGGCGTGCCAGAGCAGACAGTTCCGGAGCTGCCTCCTACGACCATGAGGCAGACAGAGATATACACCCCACAAGAGATGGCCATTTATACGATCGGTTGGGACTCGGAGGGCTTTAGAGGCGAGGGTGACTATGCAGAGTACGTCCAGACCTATATCATGCGGCCTCTGGGTAGTGCTCGCCGAGCTGAGAGGGAGAGGCCTGCGGCGCCAGCAGCTGGAGCAGGATCAGGAGCAGGAGCACCAAGGATGGCTTGGGCCCATGGTAGGAGTGGGCCCCGGAGAGGGCAGAGAGCTGGGTGGCCAGCGCTGCCTACGATGATGACATGCAGAGGGCAAGGTGGGGAGACTTATCAGATCCCTATCGCTCCCCCTCCGGCTGATCATGAGTTAGTCAAATTCTATGACTTGCCCCCGGTATGTACTACTGCATTTTGTATTCTGTACCGTCATTTCATTTCATTCCTTTTGATATTCTGCAGAATATTGATGCACACTTTTGCAGGCTTCCTCCGAGTATACTCGCCAGTCCCTAGAGTTGACCGCCTCCGTGATGGGGATGCTACAATGGAGCCTCGACCTGCTGGCCATTTACAGTATCCCGGTAAGTTCTGTTAACCACAGTCTTTCAAACACAGTCTCAAACTCTGCATAAACTGTTTCACATAATCTGATGGATCGCACCGCCAACATCGCACCGCCAACATCGCACCGCCAACACAGCACTTGATACACGACACTCATGGCATTGGTATGCTGTAATCGTACACTGCTCACAGCATTGCTCACGTCATTCATACACTGCACTCAGTCGCTGCATTCTATGCTGATACCTTGTTCACAGCATTCATACACTGTACCCAGTCACTGCATTCTGCACTAATACCCTGTTCACAGTATTCATACATTGTACTCAGTCACTGTACTTGATATTCATACCCTTCTTTTGCGTAGCATACTGATGCGTTTGTCATTTGTGCTTTTCAACCTCCATTCCAGATTCCGGCTGCAGGGGGTGCTCCAGCAGGACCATCTGCATCTACCCGAGGAGGAGGGAGAGCAGGGCGAGGGACCATAGTACACCCCCGCACCAAGGCGAGGCGCACTCATGTTGGGAGCAGCTCACGGGCACCGATTCCGGACGATGATGAGTTTGAGACGGAGGTAGAGGCAGAGTCATTGGAGGATGAGACTGGAGATGATTCGGGCTCGAGCTCAGATAGTGGAGTCGGCGACGATGCTCCTGGACCTTCGTCCAGGAAGAGGACGAGGATAGACTCTCATGCCTGAGACCAGTTGACATTGATCCAGACTTTTGCTTCTTTTCTTTCTTTTGCTTTTCTTTTTGTTGGTAGATTGAGCACATCGTACTGCCACAGGCAGGTTTTGTTTTCTTCAAAACTATGTATTTGAAACGATAATGGAGTGAAACAAGCTTTTTGCTGAAAAAGTGTTGCATTTATACATCACATCGTATCATACCATATCACATGACAATGTAATCGGATGGAAATTGAACATGCATGCACTACCAGGTCAGGTAAACCGACGTAACAAAATTAACTCAATAAGCAAAAATGAGACCTTAACAAGTTTACAACTCGATAAGTAGAGAGTGTTTACAACTCGATAAGTAGAGAGTAACAACTCGATAAGCAAAATTGCGACAACTTGGTAATCAAATGAGTGACAACCCAATAAGCAAATCAGTAACAACTTGATAAGCAAATGAGCGACAACTCGATAAGCAAAATGAGTAACAACTCGATAAGCAAATGAGCAACAACTCGATTAGCAAATTGAAGTAATTCAGGTGTGACTTTGCAAAATCAACACCGAAAGGCACTGGAAATGGAACTAATCACAAGTTCTCAATATGTTCAACATATAGAGTGTTCGTTTCGAACACACCGTTCGCAACACAGTACTCTGTTCGTTTTGGTCATACGGCCTATGCAGAACACTGCTAATTCTGAATACACGGCCCATTCTGAATATTGCTCATTCTGAACTCACAGCGCATAACACAGCATTCGGTTTATTCGGCATACAACTAATTCTGAACAAACAGTTCGATCCGAACAGACGGGATGCAAAGATGGGATTGGCAGAAGTTGAAACATACTCAGATGCTCCATATGTGGAAGAACAAATATGGAGAATGGCACAACACTCTGAGCATAAAGCGATTCACTTTGAAAATCGAGAAATGAGTTTCCCACCCTTTCTCATTTGTGATTCTCACGTCACTCTGGCACTTAATCTCTGTTTTTCTCTAAAAAGTCCTTTTCCTCGCTTTTTCTCTCAGCGCACATCTCTCTATTCTTCAATCTCTCATTTTTTATCCCTCCCCTTGGTGGTTTGATGGATAAACAAAAGGTTGTGGGTTCATGCCCAACTTTATTAGCTCGTGGCTATCTCCTCTGGTGCCATTTAGTCAAGGCCCCGGAAAGAGGGAATGGAGTAACTTGATCCGCTCGAGTTCATGCTTCGCACTTGGCTTGATACCTCGTTGCTCGGAGGATACTGAGAGCTTTCGGCCCTTTGTTGTTAGCTTCAACTGTGCACTTTTCTGGTAGGTAGAGTGCCCTTTCTGGCAAACGCATGGATAACGGGGAAAAGATAGGAAGCCTGACTCAACTGTGCTCCTAGTTCATCATTTTGACCCTTTTTTGTTTTTGCTTTCTACTAAAACAATTTTGACCAAAATAAGAGTTAGATTAACACGCTTGTTCAAGAAATGGTCCAATTTTGGAAAAAATTGGATAATTTTCAAGAGAATCAGTCAACCTCAGTAAAAATTCTCAAAAACCATTTTGGCAAACAGTCACTGCTCAACGAGCACAGAACTTACTCTTGAGATGCATAACCTCAGATCAGAAGGAAAATTTCCCCTTGTCTGAAGGACACTGCATGGCAACGGAAAGTTGCCCCTTGTTTAAATGGCACCGCAGCGCATTTAATGGCAACGGAAAGTTGCCCCTTGTTTGAATGGCACCACAGTGCATTGTAGTCAGTCCTCAGAGTGACGAACACAACCAAACTTCTTGGATACAAATAAGGAAAAGATGATCAAAACCATTACATGGACATAATCAATTTGGAAGTGTTTGTGGCTGGACTTCAGGACGAAGTTGCCTACGTATCCCAAACATGGGAATCAAGCCTTACGCAGTTTCGGTTAAGGGACGCTCGGGTATTTAACCTCTCCTTTTGCGCTCGAACTTTTGCCAATGCCGCCCTTCCATGTTTTCAACCTTGCGAGTGTAGACACCCAATTTTTGACCGACCTTGAGACTCAGACGTCACCAGTTGAGCACTTGGTGATATTGCATAATGTGCTCGTTCAGAAGTTTCAGAGTCTTGGCTGCGAGCCCTGCCTCCGGACTTCCGAACCCTCTTCTGTGCCTTGCCTCGGTTTGCGAACCAGACTCGGTTTTCTCTGTTTCTATTCCTGAGGGGAGGGAGAGGTCCGGTAGACCATCTCTCAGTGGCCGTGGGCTACATTTTGTGGCCGCAGGCCATTTTGCCCATTTCGGAACCCGGTTCCCGGTTTTCGGAGCCGTCAGGCCGAGTGCCTCGGTTCGGGACCGCTTAACCATCTCTTATCGCTCCAATTTTTGGCATGCATCCTTTATACTCCCTTTTGAGGGACACTGGGGTCTGAGAAACCCACTTAGTGGCCGAACGCCACTTTCGGTGCTTAACAGGCAATTTTCGGGTTTTCATTTCTTCTCTTTTTCTTTTTTTCTTTTCTTTTCTTTTTTTCTTTTTTTCTTTTCTTTTCTTCTTTTTTCATTTTCATTTTTTTATCTTTGCATTTTTTCTCTTTTTTCTTTTTTCTTGTTCTTTTCTTTGCTTTAACTTTTGCCTGGGTCGCCCTTCCAGGTTTTCGGCCCAGCGAGCCTCTCAGGGGTAAAAGTGTAGCTTTGTCCATGTCAAATGGTTTCGAGATCCCGAAGTCATCTGAATCAAGGAGAATGGCTACTGTTTGCTGGCGATGCAGGAGTCCATCCAATGGGGGGCTGAATTTTCCCCTTAGTATTGCGGATAGAAACTCAGTTGTTCTTCAGCAATATCTTCTTCTTTCCTCCCTTCTGGGATTTGGCATTCTTGCCAGTCTTCATTGGTTTGCAGGAATGACTCATCTTTCGCTCTTCGAGCACATCTGACATTTTTCTACCCCTAGTTCCAGGGGTGTCTCTGATCTAGCTTTGTAAGCTTCCTTTGATCACATCTAATATTTTCGCCCCTAGTTCAGGGGTTGCTTCTAATCCGGCCACACGTGCCTTGCATTGTGGTTGGCCGTTGAACATTCTGAATTGAGGTTCAAGATTTGGAAGCAAAAGGATTGAGTCTCAAGGCTGAGAGCAATCCTAGGCTGCACAATTTCAAGAGCGATTCCACACAGGTCTTCGCAGGACCGCGCAAAACATTTTTTGAAATTTTTTAAGAAAGCGACAAATCGCTCGCGCTGAAGACAGTGTAGAACCAATCTAGGTCAAGCCAGGATCCTTCTCAGTACTCACACTAACAAGCATGATCTCAATCATTAAGGACTTAGCATGCCTCTCTTTCTCTCAATTCGATCAAATTTTGCTAACCCCGAGGAATTCCTTCCTCTTTGTTTTCATCACAATGTTCAAAAAGGTTTTGAAAAACTTAGGTCAATACAATGAGTTCAAAGCACAGAAAAGTAAGTGAAAAGCACTACCACTTCGTTCTGAACATTGTTGGCACAACAGGCTCAAAGTAGCAACAAGTATAAAGGCATGACAGCCACAGCTGTTTTAATCAGATTTCTTGGTTGCAACTGGCTCCACAGCAGAGACAAACTCAAAAGAAAGAAAAAGACAAGCACAAAAACGACAGTGGTGTCCGAGGTAACAACTCCAAGATCACCTGACCCCTATACAACAGGACTGACTCGATACAACGAGACAAACCTTTAAGCAAAAAGACTGACTCAAAACAAAGAGACAGACTCAAAACAAAACCACAGAACTGACTCAATACCCAAGTCAGAGTGTACAAAAGTCATCATTCACAAAATGTTCAAAACAATGCGTGCCAAACGCCATATCTGAAATAAGCCGAGCGCCACCCGCAGGTGGTCCAACCCCTGATTACATACTTGTACTATCTTCGAAGTCTACAAACTCAGTGGTGACAGACTTTGCTGAGCTGGGTGGGAGGATGACCTCATTATCGATCAAGTCTTGCACTTCGTGGCGAAGACGAAAGCAATTGTCAGTGGTGCGACCAGTCTGTTGGTGGTACACATAGTACTAGGTAGCATCATGACCCGGTGGAAGATGAGCAGGTAGAGGCCGAGGCTCAAGGGGTTTAAGATGTCTCTTTTCAGCAAGGATTTGAAGCGCCTTAGACAAAGGCATGTAAAGGGCATGAAAGACCCTGCGCCCTCGGGGTAGGTACTTCGAAGTCTGTGGATTTTTGCTAGGCGCACTAGCAAAAGGATCAACGGGTGCTGCCTTGGCTCTCTGATCTTTCCCAGGTGTACGGTTGGGATTGGCAGGAACAGTTCCGGTGTGACGGTCCTTATCCCGATTTTCCCTCTGGCTTAAACTACTCTCGGTCTGAGTGGGGAAGCTGTCATCCACAGTTTTAGCCAAAACTGCGAGTACTTGTTGCTTATTCAACCCCCCGGCTTTCAGAGCCTCAACAGCTTGCTGGAGTTGCATATAGGGATCTACATCTGCCTTCATTTTGTTCTTTCCACTAGCCTCAGCTTGGTGGGAGGTTTGGGTTGTTGCTTCGGTGCGAAGCCCTGTTGTCGTTGATACGTCATTGCCGGAGTTCGAGACAGCTTCAGGCTGGCTGAGCTCAATTACAATTCGCCACAGTAACGGGGGCTCCTGCGGCATGAAATTCCCAACATACGATGCAGTTGGTGGCGAGGCTGACATTCCATAGGCTAGATCAACCACGGATCTCTGGAGGTCGCCAATCATTCCCATTAACTCAAACGTGGTGGGTTCACGAGCTTGAAACAACGGGGGTTCCCAGATCGGGCGTGCAGCAGGCGACCTGGGCGGGTGTGATATCTCAACATCGGTCTCGCCCTGTAAGATGACCCTTTGGTTTAGTGCGGCTGCCATAACCACAACTTCTTCTGAATTCTGTGACATCATAAATCCGCTGAACTGAACGGAGGTGATGTGACTGGTGACTTGATTGATCAAATATCTGCCTTGCTTCGGCGAAGGAGAACACTAGCTATTCTGAACTCAGATCTCTGAAACTCCCCCCTCCTCCTGAAAGAGAAAACAGGCGGCGTCTTAACCCAATTTTACCCAAACAATCGTAAGCACAACTGAACAACTGTATTTGATCACTAATCACTGTTCCCCAAAACTACTGCCCCAAAACTGAATCTGATACCCGCAGATACTTGAACATGCTTGGTTATCATTTTTCAAAAATACTTTT